TCTAGTTTAATTAATTACACTTGATCACAAAATTAATTCCTAATCAATTATTGACCAATATTAATTAAGCAAATATGATTTCTCCTTTAATATATTATTCTTATAACATATTAATAAATCATAATAACCTCTCTCTCAATTTATTTATTTCTCCAATCAAGTTGCTGTGGTGAAGGCAACCCAAAAGGACCATGCACCATCGGGTCAAGTACATATCAAAATAGTTATGGACTTAGACACTAATCCAACATAACAAAAGTACATTGCTATTACATGCAGTTTATGTTATAACATGTGTAACAATGTAATAGTAAAAAACCAAAAAAAATATCTTTGAGTTATAAGAATGTTACACTAGAATAGTTTGATGGTATAATATGGTAAAAAGACATTAAGTAAAGTACAACGTCATTTTTTGTCATTTTCTTATTCTCCACATAACGATGTGCTCAAGTTTTGGCCTTTCCCTTCTACAAACAAAAAATAAAGATCATTAAGTGTTAAAAGAAGGAGAAATATTATCGCAACAAATGTAATTCATGACATTAAGAAACATGTACTGTAAATATAAGAATATCGTGACAATCATTACGAAATCAAGTGTGCCTACACGTGGCAATATGTTATCATTATGAGGAACAATAGTACTAAATACTTCATCTACGTCTTCATATGTATCTTTCTAATTTTTAGGAGGTGTCTTGAACACAATAGACATTTTTTGATTGAGTGGGTCTGTCACGTAAAATACTTGTTGTGCTTGTGAGGACAATATGAAGGGATCACCTTTATGGCCTAATCTTTTTAGTTCAACTAGTGTGTATCCCAATTTATCCATTTTTACCCCTTTTCTATTGTCAACCCAGTCACACATGAAAATTGGAATTCTTTTAAAATGATAATCTAGTACCCATATCTCTTGTAAAACACCATAATAAGTGTTTTTGGCATATGTTACAACTTCTTTATTGATGTGTGTGTCAGTTGCAACAAGACTAACCCCACTGTTTTGGTAAACTTTACCTTCATGAGCTTTTGTACGAAAAGTATATCCATTAATAGCATATACATCGTATTTAATAATGTTCTTATTGGGTCCATGTGAAATCCATCTCATTGTCTCTGGTATAGTTTCTCTACAGGCCCCTAACTCTCTCTCTACCTGAATTGTAATTAGATTATAAATTTAAGAAATCAAGACAAAAATAACAAAGAACACAACATATTTGAAAAGAATATACCTCCTTTCGTAACCAATGACCAATTGTTTTACTATGCTCTTGTTCTAGATGTGCCTTTCGTTTAGTAAGGTGTATATGTTCCAAAAATTCCATGTGTCGTCTGTCAATACATTAATGTTAATATTATTATAAAAAACATACATGTAAAAAACCTTACTTTATATATGGGAGTACTTCAGATGTATTTTGCAATACAAAGAAATGTCCTTTGCTGAATAGTTCTGCAGAAACTTCTACCGATTTAGCAGCTGATACAGGAGTACTATCCATAATAGAACTACTATCTACACCTTTATGAATTCCAAAATTGTTATGATTGTTAGGTGGAATACCAACATTATCCATCCTTTTATGGAATTGACAAAAAAACTCAATTGTCTCTTCTGCAACATTCTCTTCAGAAATGCATCCTTCTGGTCTATTTTTGTTTCGCACGTGCCCCTTAATAACCTTCATATACCTTTCGAATGGGTACATCCATCTAAAGAATATTGGACCGCATAATTTTACTTCCCTAGTAATATGAACGGTTAAATGAATCATCACATCAAAAAATGATGGTGGAAAGTGTTTCTCAAGAAGACATAAGGTTACACATAACTCCTCTTGCAACTTATCAAGCTCATCCAATACGATTTCATTGCTACATATTGATTTGAAAAAAGAAACAAAACCTTGTAATAGCAAGTCTGGTGGGTGGATGCATAATAGATCGAATTGCTATGGGCAAAAATTGTTGCATGAGCATCTGATAGTCATGTGATTTTAGTCCGATCAACTTCCTATCCTTTAGACTCACCAAACTAGAAAAATTAGAAAAATACCCTTGAGGAACCCTTAAGTGGTATAAAGTCTCACAGAATTTGTCTTTTTCCTCTTTTGTCAATGTACAACCTGCTGCGGGAAGTGTTGTGCTGTTCCCTTCTATCTGAGGATGCAACTCTGGTTTCAAACCATAATGAACCAAATCCAATCGAACTTTATAACCATCTTTCGTCTTCCCGGTAACGTTCAAAACAGTTCTTGTTAAACTCTCACCCATGTTCTTTTACACATGCATAAAATCTATACAATGTGGAACCAAATTGTCGGCCAATACCTTAGTTGTGTATACCATATATTGAATTTCTTCCAGTATGTATTATTTTGCTGTCCCACATCTGAAGTACCCAGTTGGTGTGATTTTCTCTTTTTTTATTCATCTTCCAAACTCTTCCACTTGTTGCTTGTTGGATTTCTACCTCCTTTCCCTTATTAACCTTTCCCCATTTATTAATTATAAATTTTACCTTGTTATATATTTCCTCCCCATTCATAAGTTCTGGAGAAGGCGATAACTCTTGTTATCCATTGAATGCCTTCTTTTGTCTTCTGAACGGGTGATTATACGGTAGAAATCTTCTATGACCAGCATAACTCTGCTTATTCGATTCAGGGAGTCTAAGGCAGTGTGTCTCTTCACCACACAAAACACAACCTTGAAAACCGCTGTATGGGCAACCACTTAATGTACCTAAAGCAGGATAATTATTAATAGTCCATAACACAACTGCGCGTAGTTTAAAATGCTCTTGTGTATATGCATCGTATGTTTCAACTCCAAAATCAAATAATAATTGCAGATCATCAATAAAAGGTGCTAGGAACACATCAATATCGTTTCCTGATGTTCCCGAAATCAATAACGAAAGCATGATGAACTTTCTCTTCATACACAACCATGGTGGAAGGTTGTAAATGATAGTTAAAACAGGCCAAACACTACGACTCCTATTTCCTCTGTTCACATCAACCCCGTCCGCCGAAATGCGTAGTCGCAAATTCCTTGGTTTGTTAGCAAAATCAGGATATTTGTCATCAATGGCAGCCCATGCTGGTGAATCAGCTGGGTGACTTAAAACTTCAACATCCACCATTCTTTCTGTTGCGTGCCATGTTAAATATTTTGCAATTGTCTTAGACTGGAAAAGACGCTTGAAGCGCGGAATAATTGGAAAGTACCACAAACATTTTGCAGGAATATTGTTATAAATTTTATTTTTTTGTTCATCAACCCTCTATCTTGATTTACCACAATTAGCACATGCTACCAAATCTGTGTATTCTTTTCTGTAAAGTATACAATTGTTGACACAAGCATGTATCTTAGTATACCCTGAACCCATTTCCTTAAATGCTTTTTTGGTTGTGGGTTTGGACCTCATTTGGTTATGTATGGGTGTTGGTTGTAGGTTTGGACCTCATTTGGTCATGTCCATAGTGTTGGTTGTGGGTTTAGACCGCATTTGGTCATGCATGGGTGTTGGTTGTGGGTTTGGACCTCATTTGGTCATGTATGGGTGTTGGTTGTGGGTTTGGACCTCATTTGGTCATGCATGGGTGTTGTTTGTGGGTTTGGACCTCATTTGGTCATGTATGGGTGTTGGTTGTGGGTTTGCACCTCATTTGGTCATGCATGGGTGTTGGTTGTGGGGTTGGACCTCATTTAGTCATGTCTATAGTGTTGGTTGTGGGTTTGGACCTCATTTGTTCATGCATGGGTGTTTGTTGTGGGTTTGGACCTCATTTGGTCATGTCCATAGTGTTGGTTGTGGGTTTAGACCTCATTGGGTCATGCATGGGTGTTGGTTGTGGGTTTGGAACTCATTTGGTCATGTCCATAGCTTTGGTTGTGGGTTTGGACCTCATTTGGTCATGTATGGGTGTTGGTTGTGGTTTTGGACCTCATTGGGTCATGCATCGGTGTTGGTGACCTCATTTGGTCATGTATGGGTGTTGGTTGTGGGTTTGGACCTCATTTGGTCATCCATGGGTGTTGGTTGTGGGTTTGGACCTCATTTGGTCATGTCCATAGTGTTGGTTGTGGGTTTGGACCTCATTTGGTCATGTCCATAGTTTTGGTTGTGGGTTTGGACCTCATTTGGTCATGTCCATAGTTTTAGTTGTGGGTTTGGACCAAATTACGCCTACTAGACCATATTATTATTTTTATTATATAAACATATTTTTCCCTTGTATATATAATTTTTAATTTTATATATTTTTTATTTCAATAGTCATAAATGTTTTTCCAAAAAATAAATTGCTAACTTATAAGGACCAAATATGTAATATTTATATTCTTACCAAATAAATCATACTAATTTTTGAAAATGCACGACATGTTTCCAAACCACGGTTTTTTCTTCTAATCGTGTGGGATTACTATGAGATCAAAATTTGAAACACATTTGAATCTGTCAAACGAATTTAAACAAAAACTAATGAGAGGCAAATATTTTTTTGTATGGTTTTTGGGCTCTAAATCAAAGCGGGAAATCTTCATCTATCACACCGCCAAAACTATGAAGATCAATCCATCGGATGAAGGAAATCCCCGTAATTTTTGGTAACCTCCATCAATTTAGGACCTGTTATATCATTTTAATATTTATTAGACTATCATTTATTCCACTGTTGTTTTATTTAGCGTTTGGTTATATCCCAGAAGGATCATACTTCAGTTCATCATTCATCAAGCTTTCTAGTGTAAGTATATTGTTTGTGTATGTATAGTTTCAATCTTATTGATTGTATTGATCATGGATCATGCATAACACAAAGAATTTTGATTCTTCATATTGGTGTGCTTCTTGCACACAAACTATTCGATGAAATGTTTATGTGAGCAATTATCTATAATATTATTTGTTCATACATTATCATCAAACTTCTAAACAATCAAACTTATTTTCAATCTGTTTTATCAACAGAAGAATCATGGAGGTTGACAAGGAACAACATGAGGATATCCCTGACTATAATACAGAATATGAGCTACATGATGGAAACCAAGAATTAGATTCGCCTACAGAGAATGGTGAAAATAAAGACATTCACTACAATAGCCAATCAGATTCGGAAGAAGAAATCCACAAAACAGTTCCTTCAAATTCAGATAGGAAGAGGGGCATGATTCGATTGCCAAAACTGAACACTGAATATGTCAACTCTGGTGAAAAAAAACGTGTCAGGTTTGATGAATTTGGTAAGTTTACAGGGAAGAATAATCCAGTCTTTGTTAGCTATTTGGGTGATCTTTTCCGCGAGATGGTGGGATTAAGTGCTCTTTGCTGGAAAAAAGTTAAACCGGAAATGAAGGACAAACTATGGGAAGAGATAACAGTAAAGATTTTCCTCAAATTTTTAATATGTATAACATAATATATGTAAAAATGAAGTTTTAAATACTAACATTCTCATTGTTTTTTTTAGCGCTATTTTGAGGTTCATGAAAGTGGAAAACAATTTGTGATGAATAGACTTGGTATTCTTCTACGGAATTTCAGAAGAAAGTTGTATGCAGATTACATCAAACCACATCTAGGCGATACCGATATGCTTGAAAAAATCCCAGTTCGTCATCGTGCACAAATCACAGAACAAGATTATTGGAACAAATTTGTGACTTATACACAATCTCAAGAGTTTAATGTTAAAATCTTTTTTCAAAACTTATTCATTTATTTATCATAATCTGGGTTCTAAACGTTCGTGACAAATATATTACTTTTAATTCACAGAATGTGTCACAAAGGAGTATCAAAGCGAGAAAGATGTCAAAGTATGATCATCGGATCGGACGAGGGGGGTATACAACTCTTAGGAGGAAGTTGGTAAGCTACATTAACTTCATATCATTTTATTTAACATGCTTTTGTTTCATATTCTTTATAATTTTTTTTTTTTTATCAAGATTGAAGAGAATGTAATTTCGAAGGAGGAAATTCCCCCAAGGTCAGTTATGTGGTGTAAAGGGCGTGAAAGTAAAGGAGAATTTAAGGATGAAGATGTTAAAATCATGGCTGATAAACTAGTAACTTCAATACACTTTTCTTTTTCTTTTACTTTAAATATTTTAATCATTGATATTAACACAATAATTATTAATTTATTGTTTGGTAGATGGAACATGAGAAGCAGATAACAGAAGGACAAGTAAATGTTGAACCAGGAATAGATGCCATGAACTTAGTTTTTGGAAAGGAAAAGGGTGGATTTTTAAAGGGTGTCAGCACGAGAGTCACTTACAACAAATATTTTAATGTTCCTCGCAGCAAACGATCATCTAAGGAAGAAATTAAAGATCTTAAAGTTGCACTGCATAATGGAAAACATGAGCTTGAGAAAAAAGATGTTGAACTAAAGGCTTTGTCTACAAAGGTTAATGAACAAGATCAAACACTAAAGCTAGTTTTGGCTCATCTTAATGCAAAAGGAGCTGACTTTCCAAATCTGTCACATACAATTGTAAGTAATCTTATTGAAAATATCTGTTGTCAATGTTAGTTCTAAATTACATTTCTTTTATATATTTTTCCTGTTTCTTTATATTTTCTAGGGTATTTCAAGTGAGAAGATTGTACAGAGTAATGAAACATCTCCTGTTAGTCTCAAAAACAATGAACCTTCATAACCTGTAACACCAGTATGTTATCGTCTTATTAGATCAATGTTGGTGTGTGTGTGTGTGTATATATATATATATATATATATATATATATATATATATATATATATATTTGATACCGATTTCTGATTTTTTATGTTGGGCTTTATATTATGTAGGTTATTCCAAAACCCAACAAAAAACCTGTTCAAACAAAATCTGCAACTGCAGCACCCGATGCAAAATTGATTTCCATGAAATCTGCAACAATAGTATATACTAACTTTACAGTTTTCAATACTTTTATTTAATCTTTTTTATTAAAATATATGTTTAAATATGTCTTAATTCTTGATATCAGGCAAATACAAAAACCACCAACAAAACTGTTGAGTCTAAGGCTACCACTATCAATCAAAATATACCAAAAGTTTCACCAAATAATCCCATTCACCAGGTCAGTGTTTTTTTACATGATGAATATACATTTCTGTTATTTTTTTTCCAGATTATAACCTTACTTGTCATTGTAGGCAATCAAGTGTAGTATATCATATCCATATAAAAGGAACATCGTTGCCCGCGGTACCATTCACTTATCATCAGAAAGACAATTCATTCATGGAGTTCCTCTACAAGATGATTGCTATAAAGTTTCCATTGATGAAGTGGTTGTAAAAACTGCATTTCTACCCCCATCAAACTGGAGAATTCAAATTAGTTGAGGATTCATATAAAAGTTTTGTTCCATGGCCAAAATACCTTGTGCAAACCAAGTCAGAGGTTTGTTTCAATATGTCCAATACTTTTTGCATTAAAATTTATTTTGTTCATAAAGTACTATACTAAGTTTATGATGAATTAATTTTATTGGTTTCAATGTTGTTGTTATAGGTACCAGAAATTATATCACATCAAAAATCAACAAAAAGGAAACCAACTTACATATCATCTGATGCCATTCTGAAGACGACAAGGAGCAATAAAAACAAAAATAATGCCTAGCTAGTTATGTTTAGGTTTTGGTTTATGATGTCTTTGATTTTTTTAACCGTTATATAAATTCTTTAAATTACGCAAATTTTCCTTTCTTTGATATTTTAATTAGGAATGTAATGTATATATGGATTTCGATTTCAATTATTATTAATAAAAAATTATGAATTTTCTTTGTGTTTCATATTGTTGTGTTTCGTTACTTTAATTTAAAGTATTTTCATGTGTCTAAAATGTATAAAAAGTAACAGTAAATGGTAAGTTATAGTGGCTATAGTATGATTTTTACAGAACACGGACATGTTTACCGTAAATTGCATGTATCTAAAATATACTCAATAGTCTTAATACGATACCGAATTGTCCTTAATTTTAACAAAATGTGTGACTTTATAATACTTATGATTTTAATTCACTTCTTCGTTTGTCTCTATACGTTAGGTTATAGTCACAAACATTGATTGTTTTTTGTGACTAATAATTAGCAATTCGTCACATATGTAAGTAAAGTACTTGTGGCCATTTAGCAAATATGGTCACACTTACCATAATTAAAAGTTTACAAAAGATACACAATAGTCTTAACAAAATTTAGATTATGTGACCATATGTAAGAAAAAAACTACATTAAAACATCATGAATGTCGCATTTTGGTGATATACAGTCACAACGTTAAATAAATATGTGTGACTAATAACTGTTTAACGCTACAACATTAGATATTTAAGGAACAAAATTCCATACGTATTTGCCACACTTTTATACTACGGCCACATGTTTTCATAGCATACAGACACTACAATTTAAAGTGACCATAAGACCCATACGATGGCGTCACCTTCTGTCACACTTTCAGTGAAAAAAATGTCACTATATGCATATAGCCACACTTTTTTGGTGTGACTGTAAGTCATTTTTCTTGTAGTGAAAAGAACAAATAGTCTGCAAAGGCTAATGTCTATGCATGGTCTGCGCCGCGCAGACAGAAGAGGTTAGGAAGATCTGCAGACATAAAACAAACACCGCCCAAATAAATGTGCAACATAAAATAAGCTCAAATATTTTATTCTGCTAACAAAAATTTGTATTATTTATGCGGGTACACCGAAGTAGCTCCTACATTATGAAGAGTTTGCCTCCAATAGGCAACACATATGTTATACAAATACATAGAAGTAAAATCATAAAAGTGTGAGGCGAAAACTAGCAATACTAACACTAAGGTGTTGTTTGTTTTTTCTGAGGCAAAATGTCTGCAGTCTGCGAACCACATCTGTAGACCTCTGCAGTAGAAGAGGTGGACCAAATGTCTGCAGTCTGAAAAAAAATAAGATTGTTTGTTTTTTTAACATCTGCGGGCTACTAAGATAAACTGAAATCTAAATAAATTGATTTTTTTAAACTTCATAGGGATTTTTTAATATTTTTATGACTTTGTTATAAATAATTAACGAATTTAGATCAACTTTTATATATTATTGTACAAAAATAAAAATTAAAATGGTATGAATTAACTTATATGTTTAATAAAAACCAACAACTTTGGTTCAAAGTTTTAACTAAACATTATAAATATGATCAAAGAATTTGATACATAAATGGATGAAAATAAACTTTGATTTTTTCAATTAAATCTATTAAAAGGGTACCATAAATATTTTCTTGAGAAATTTCCGATACTGTATTAAATAATGTTTTACAAAATTTGACAAAAAAAAAGAATATATTATCATTTTTTTCATATTTATATAAACAATTTCAACGACTATTATTATAATAAATCATTATTTATAAATTTGTCAAAAATATAATGTTTGTATCGTCGAACATTTTTTTTGAAGTTTTGTAATTTTTTTTTTCAATTTGTTTATCATTAATAAAGTTGGAAAAAATACAAATTAAAAAAAAAAACTTGAATATATATATATATATTAATATAATATATATATATATATATATATATATATATATATATATATGTTTTTTAGGTTAGAAGATGTCTGAAGATGTTAAAAGACTCTAGTCCACATCTGCGTCAAGAAAAGGGTGCGCAGACATTTTTAGGTCTGCAGTTTTCAAAAAAACAAACAGTCTGCGAAGGCTAATATCTGCCCATGGTCTGCGCGGTGCAGGCAGAAGAGGTCACGCAGATCTGCAGACAAAAAACAAACACTACCTAAAAAGTGCATATATATAAAATAGTAAAAATTATGTGTAACCGTATACTGTTATATCAACATACGACTCCTTCTAAAAACCGTTTGAAATAATATCTAACAACTCATATGGCATTTAAGTTTTTATGGAAGTATCATCTAATGTTGAGCTTTATATTTCATTTTTAATGAAAATACTTACCTGGAGTAAGGCGGTGGAAGCGGGGACTATGAAGCGATAGGCAACGGACGTGCGGTTAAAAAAAATTACAACAAGCACTGTTCATAAGAACATTGTGCTTTAATTATATATATAATAATACAACGGTGTGAAGAATATATTATTTACTTTGAAAGCTTTACTTTCACAAAAAAGTCTATCGGGAACGTCCATACCAATTGCCATCTTGCCATTAGGATCTATAAAACAATATATTATTTACTTTGAAAGGTGAAGAAGTTTTTGGAAAAGCAAAAGGAATTCTTTATCTTTCACTATTGAAGATGAGAAAGAATATGAATCTTTCCGGATTTGAAAATTACGATTTAAAAGTGTACAAGTAAATTATCTGATTTTGGTTTATATCGAGTTAGAATAACTTAAATTGTTTTTTAAAGAAAATATGATGTTATGTTGATTTTTTAATATCTTCCTATTATTAAAAATTCACTAGCAAATAGCTCGAGAGAAATAGGAGAATTACAATGTAATAATATACTTCGGATTCTTTTAACCAATCAAACCAACTTTTCGGTTTCTATTATCAAATGTGAATTTGATTACGTGGTTGCAAAACTCAATCTAAGCTTGCTTTTCATTGTAATGTTTTGTTTCTAGTTTTTTTTTGCTAGTATCTTATAATTATTTTGTTCTGAAAAACAAAGTAAATACAAATAGAATCAAAGTCAACCCTTTTGATACTTCTCTTCCCAAAATGCACATAATTTTTGAAGCTCGAAATCGTCCACCACGTAGTGTAAATGATTACTTCTGTTGGCCAGTTTTTATAGTCAAGAAATCCAGCTACCAAAGCATTTCTAAGATCGAATCATAACTAGCAGGAGAAATCTCAACCCATTTAATATTGCAATGTTTTAGCGGTAACTTTACATCATTGAAAACTTAAAGAGTTAATATACGATTTAAAGAATAGGTAAGTGGTTTGGAGCGAGGATTTGAAGAATTGGACACTACTCGCATTTTTTTTTGAACGGCAAGGTTAATATATTCATTAAAACCAGCAGGACGTTGGCAATACAGTACAAAAATGTTAAGAAAATAGAACATAGATGCGGATAAGACAACCTATACTAATTTAAAGCTGAAACTAAGGAGTTACATTGTAAATCAAAACTTGAATTACGCCCAGAATCTCCGCCTAGGATGCTTGAGACATCGGCTACATTTTCCCAAAGCAAAACTACCCCTCCAAGAGACTAGGTTCTTTTGGACTATTTGTTCCTTGACTATCTTCCAGGTGCAAATATGGTAACCTCATCTCCTACATGAGATTTCTCCAACTCCAATGAGAGGAATTGGGATGACCTGCAAGATGGAGTGCGACTACTGCTAAAACATAAGTGTAATTTGAAGGGAACCTGCAGAAGGAATCAAACACGAATAGAGAAAAACACACACAAAAAAAAAACTTACCCCCACATCCCATTTTAAATCAACCCACACTAGAAAGAATACACGAAGGAAATGCCAGGTATAGTTTTAAGCCTATAAGATGTCTACCCGGAAAAAGGAAAAAGAAACGCACACCAAACACACACTTAAACTACACCCTGGCATACACCAAGACACCAAAGGAATGAAAAGGAGCCCAACCATCCCCCCCCCCCCCCCCCCCCATTTGAATTTTAAATCATGCCAGCTTCTTGGATTGGGTTACAACACCATTCTAACCATCTAAGCTTCTTAGTTTTATGTCTAACATTTATCCATAAATACGATAAGGTCTGAATATCATTTATGAGACAGGAAGGAGAGATGCGCTTGTCTGAATAAGCCATTTTGTTTCTAAAGCTCCAAATAACCCAGATAAAGACCAAAGCCACAACTTCATGAAATAAACCGAAATTGTCATTAGATTGAAAATTTACTTTGCAGTGGAGTAGATCTTTAACCGACTGGAAACCTGGTGGAAACCGATGCCACCAAGATGCAACACCACTCCATACTTTTAATGAAACTGAGCAAGTAGTGAATAGATGACTCTCGGATTCTGCATGCTGATTGCATAGGGTGCATAGAGGGTTGGAACCGATTCCTAATTTAAACAAATTCTCTTTGGTTGGTAATCTACCGTGATTAACTCTCCAAGCTAGAATGTTTACTTTCCGGGGACACTACTCGCATTAGGATCTCACTTTGGTTTGCTTGATGAGCGTGTTACGAAACTTCTCGGTGAATTTTTTTATTTTTTTATTTTTTTAATTTTTATTTACAGGTTATGGGGTAAATTCTTTACGGTTTCACAAGAATAGATGAAAACTTAAAGTATTGGTGTGATTTCCTTTAATCAGATTTGTAAGTTTTATTGAATTTATCATGTTAGTTTGGTTA